AACACATGTTCCACAAATTTGAAGGTATTGTTTTACCAGGTGTCCAATGTACATATTTATTAAACGTTTTAAGGCGCATGAAGCTAATTATTTTAAATTCCTCAAATGCTTTTATAATATCACACTTATTTTTTCTGAAAGAATTTAGCCCCTACGAAAATAATGTGTACCTTTATTGTTTAGAGTTATGTTTTATTCATTGCAAAATACATTGTCTTGAAAATAAGATAAATTTATCTAAAATATATATATAAACTATAGAAAGCTTTCATAAATTGTCTTGTCCGAGTAGTAGAGACGTATATTTTTGCAAAGTGATAACTGTTAGAAGGCCCATTGTGATCTACGAAAGAACAGTTATCAATTATAATTTGATAGCTATGACAGATCCCTGGAAAGAATCTTGAATCGAGTACATTGTGCTTCCTTATAACGTACAGAATAATTGATATATTAAAATTTGAATGTAATTTTTGAATAAACAGACCTTTTATTGTTAACAGATTGTTTATCTTTAACTTCACGGGTTAATTTATTGTCATTCTTTAAGTAAGTAGACATAAATTTATGTTTGTGAACGCACCGTTCCTGGAGACAATCGTTTCGCTTGCGTCATTACTCCCACAAGATCACTTTAGTTCTTTTGATCCATTTCCGGTCTTGTTTCCTATCGACATAATTGATTCTCAAGGAGACAACACAGAAGTGTTTATTCAAATATACGATAGATTTTGAAAGATAAAAAGGAGATTTTCTTTTCTTGTACTTAAACTTTCTATAAATCGATTAAAGATGATAGAGGCAATTATAAGTTTAACTTATTGACGTAAAGTTCTTATCATGTTAATTCCTAACCACTCTACAAGAACGTTTCGTTTTCTTGCCTGCATTTTACTTCCTCAAAACTTGTTTCGCAAATGTGTATTCAAAATAGGTGACTGCTTTGTAAGAAGTGCAAATCCATATAGGAAATAATGAAATCAGGCATACGACATGAAAATGGCAGACTAATTTTGATCGATTCTATTCCATACTTCAAATGGTATAATCAGTTTGATGTACATTCTTGGAGACATTGTGCCTAAAATTGAATGTGAATTTAAAAATATGTATGTTTTAATACTTCATTCGTTACAAAAATATTCCTTCAAACATGAATTTGGTATCCATGTATTATTACAATACAATAAGTTTTACTTAGAATTTGAAGAAGATATTAAAAGTATATCATTTATGTTACGTTCATAAAGAATAAAGATATTCAAGTTGTACGAATATCCTAGGTTAGCTCTACTCACGTGATATTTCATTTGGAAACATTATTAAGCTCTTACATTTCCGATGCTGCACTAAAGTTTATATCCAGAAGAATCTTTAGTTTAACACATTTGTAGTTTAGATGAGGTGTGCATCTTTTCGAGAAAGCTGGTCATTTGTAATATTCAGTCTTGTTGCAACAAACCACAATTTCAATACTTTTTTCTGTTTAATAAAAACACTGTCTCATACACTCTCTAATTTTATATTAAAATACGTATTTGACGTATCGTATGCAATGAGTAGTAATCATAATTGTACATTGGGGTAAACAAATTGAGGCAAAGGGTTAAATGTTAGCCGAGGTTTAATTAAAATAGCCCAAATCTATTTGTCATTTATAATACTCAAAACTGCATACAATATTCGATTTTGTGCTCCTTACTATTAACTTAAAGATAAGAAAAAAACACTGAACTAAAATATTATGCGAAAACAAAAGAAAAAATACCAGGATAAGCTTCCACAACATAATATGTCGTTGAGTTTTATTGACGTATTAGTAAAAATGTCTAAACATAGTTATAAAGACATTGTGCATCTTAAGATGTGCGCAAATACAGTCTACATCGATTCACAAAGAACATAAATCACAATTATTGTTAAAAGTATCAATGTATGACGTGTTTTGCATCGATTACTTTTATCAGAATATTGATAAATTTTTAACAGGGAAATAAACAGAAATTGATTTGTTTGTTTTATTAGGTCTTATTATTATTTTTACCGTCAATATCGTATATCGTTTTAATGCTATATTTGCCAATTGACATATAAAGGAACAAATCATGTTAAATTCAGATTTAAAAAAAGTCTAGAAAAAGGGTAATGTCTCGGAAGCAATTAAAACAACAACATAATATGAAAATTTCAGACCCGATTTGATTGTCTGTTCATAAAATATAAATCGTGCTATTCATTGTTCAAATCAATTCAGTTTTTCACGTGACAGTTGTTTTGAATTGATTGTCAGTCATTGTTTTTTCCACATAAAACCATTTTTGTTTTCATCTTTTTTCCATCGCATCGATATCATTTTTTGTACATGTAAACGGTCAATTTTGTTCGATAAGAATTGTAAAACAATAATTTAGACTGATTGAACATTCTTTTTTTTTCTTAAATTCAAAATTATAACACAAATAGGTCTAAGAATCTCAAGTGGGTGTATGTGATTTTGAAACAATAAGTATGTAAGAATAAAAAAAGAAAATTACTTGTACTTGTTTTTTAAAAGAAAATTATATCTATTCTTTAAAAAATAAATGTCAAGAGGAATAAGACTCGACTAACTTTTTTATTTGCCGAACCGTAATGAAACCTACATGAACATTGAAACATTGTTTAGTACACTACTTCCTGCTCGAGTTGATAAACAATGAAACCTTGAACCTTTTTATTGCGACATGTGTTGATATAGTCATTATTCCTGACATGTATCTTTTGAATGATGACCTTGTAAGGAATTAGCAAAGTCATTACTAAGATCCTCCCTTTATTCCCTAAATGTATAATTTCCATAGAATTTCTAGAAAATGTGACTTCAGCTCAATTACCAGGGATTACAAAGGTTATGAAGATGTTTGCAATATTACATGTATCATGCTTTGCCAGTTATTGCTACAAATGTGTGGTTACCGTTATGACTGAAGTTGCAATTTCATACGCTGTTGTAAGAAAGTATTTAGGTTGTCACGATATAAATTGCCATTGAAAATAAAGATAAAGAATTTAAAATATAATGGAATATGGTAGAATATGCAAGAAAAAATATCTGACATATGTTTGCGGTTCGGATCGGATCCGTCACCCGCCCATGGGCGGGTCACCTCGGGACGGATATTTCGATCCGAACCACAACATATGACAGATATTATTATTCCCGAGTTTTTCTCTTTATTTAGTACCTCGGTTGATCTATGAAAGTACTTCAATTTTTATGTTTTAAATTATGTACCTCAGTAGAGCTCCGTTACAGTACCGTTTTAAACACATTCATTGAATAACGTTGAACTAACCTATATAACTTTAAGTACAGTCTGATTTTATTGACCTGTCAATTATAATTACATTATAGCACTCGTTTAAATATTCGATCCCACTTCAGTTTTGTTCGTGTAGTTTTCGAGAATTTATATGAAGCATTTGACTTATGTTTTGAAAGTCGCACAAGCTAAATATAGAGGTCGTTGTTACATCCACAAAACAAAGTCGGTTAAGTGATTGCCTAATATGTTAGAGATCAGTGGTTCGATCCCTACTGCTGCCATTTAAGACTCTTTCTTTGTTATTGCAGTACATTTTAATGCAAATGGTCCAGTGTTTGTATAATTGAGTACACGGATACAAAGCAACTTAGAAAAACTGTTTGTCTTGATTTGTTTTGTATTTTACGGCACTGAAATGACATTTATTGTTTTTTTATTTGAATTAATTTTAAATATTTTTTCTTGACCTATGTTATTTAAAAAGAGTTAAACTTTACAATAATTAATGTAAATCATTAAAACAAAACAAACAAAATAAAAAACAAATCAAAGCTTCAGTATGTTGAAAATACAAATAAAAATCAACAATATGGACCTATTCGTTCACGATTTAACAACCCGTAGGATACCTGAAAATATAGATCCGTAATGTACCCTATTGTGCTATATCGCTCAGTAAATTACTTCACAGACAATAATTAAATTAAATCATGTCTTACAACGTACATCTCACGGAACGTACCGAAAATCTATCGCAGATTAATATATTGTGTTCATTGACCGTATAAGTAGTATGCAATTGACAGGTTAATAGAATCAAACAATAAGCAGTTACATAAGTAGAAAAAAAAACATGTTTAGCTTAAAATGTTAACCTCTTACATTTAAAATAACGAAACCTAAAAACTGCTAAACTAAACGAAATTCATCTGAATCACGACACAAATTAACTTGGAAGTTTTACTGTAAAAAAGATCGTTCGCTTCTTTTAAGATGAAACATAATGTCCTTGTTTTGCTTGCGTGATAAGCTGTAAATTTCCCTAACAGAAATTGAAATTCAGCAATGTTTACACAAGTGAAAAGAATATTTTATGTGATATAATCGAAACATTTCGTAATCCGTGATTGTTGCCGTGCATCATTCCGAGTGATGTTTGTGTGTTTTCAGTTAAATGTATTGTAAAAGTTTATTACCATTACCTTAACTATTGGCTTATCATCTGTAATTTTGTTTATATTAATCTTCTTACATATTTTGGAATAGTGAGTTCTTTTTAAACTGGACTAATTTTTCTAAAAATGTAATTATTATTCTGTTATAAAGCAAGTGCTAGAATTATTGGTAGTTTCTTCTCTTTTAACGTCAGTTCAATCAATCATCAAGGAGGATTACATTGAAATCCATGACTGTGTAAACCGTCTTAACATTTGTGAATATTTCAATTAATTTACCTATTGATATTAATACAAACTTAAACCTTGTAGCTGTGTTTTTAAACATTGAATAAGATGTTTCAAGTACATAAAGTAATTATATTGGAAAATATAACCAGTCATTGAGTGTAATTTGCGATCAATGGGGACTCGCCATGTCCATTTTATACTCATATATATTTACACCACGCACATATGATACCTGGCAGTGAACGTATGTACATAACACAGAGAACTAAAACAACAACACACATTAAACATCAAAGGTAGCACTCCACACTAAATTTCAAGTTTCTGCCGTCAATGTCCTACAAGCAATATGTCTGATAAATCTGATCCCAAACTACACAACCTAAAAAAAGAAAACACATTTTGTTAAGAACATATATGTCATACCATTGCAAATCTGTAATGAAATCATCCCAAGTGCAACAGTCAGGCAGTTAAAAAAATTCCAATTCATTCCGTAAAAGCCAAAAATCTATAGTGGTCCGAGACCCAAAACAACATTTTTCGTCCCTCCGGCAAAAAATACCTGCAAATATATACGGTCTACAAAAACTCTGTCACTGCTTTAGCAACTCCCTATGCATGCAAAATATCACAAAGAAATAGGTGCTTGGCCTTGTAGATTTTTTGCTATTGCTGAAAGTTTGTACCCCCGTGTAAAATTACTTGTTTTCACCGAGCATGCTGTTTAAAAGCAATGTTTACAAACAATGGCGACCTTGACATCAATAATTATCAGCATGTGATTTCTAACCATGTTTTCGAATTTGCCAATGATCATATTACATGTCACAAAAACAAATTTCATGCTGAAAATGCATTTTAAAGACAACCAGTCATTTAAATCCACAATAGTCACTATATCCATGAAATCCTCCCTGGCCATTCGAAGCTGCGGCTTCATTTAGTGTGGTGTGCTGCCTTAAGGAGCACCTTAACATTGTTTGCTGAACTTTATACAGACTTTTTCTGCAATTTTATGCATATTTCAATAAATAAAATGATTTAATTTTGCTAGGAATTGTTTGCTTTTCTTTATATGTGCCTTTAATGAACTATACCGTTTGCCCCATTTTCAGCCCTCGGCACGCTGTTTTTAGTACACGTAGAAAAAGAAAGAATTTCCAATGTAAGGTGTAGACAAAATCGGTTCCATACTATCTATACAACTAATTTGCACAAATATATCCTTATGTCATATGATATGGAAGAAATATTCAACAAATTGCCATACAGTTTAAGAATAAACTGGCTTCATGTGACACTGTGTGGGGGGGGGGGCACAAAATATATCAGATATGTTCCTGCCAGACACTGATATATGCTATTTTTTCAGTCCTACACAGTAGAAAATCTATTTGGCATGCACAATGTTCATATAGGTTTATGTGTAAAGTCAAAAACAAAGAGACAAAGCATTTGTCAGGGCCTTCATAGCATTACAGACATCACAATGTGGGTCTGCTAGGGAATCGAAATTCACCAAGTGACAGTGCAAAAACCAAATTTTCCGACTAGTCGATCTTGCTCGCTCAGCTTAAAAATGGTCACAATCTCACCAGAAATCCTAGATTATATATCCACTTGCCCTTAAAAGTGATTTCCAGCAAAAATTTACCTCCATACAATGATTTTGCATCACTCGAAACACTTCGGATGGCCATATTTCACACATACAGCTGAAATGCATTAAATGCATGTCTTTTTCCTAATTTAAAAGTCATAAAAAGCAGGAAAACAACATCTAATTTAACCTTAATAGCTCTATATGTGAAAATTAGCATTCTTCTAAAGCTGTATCTCCTAGAATAAGTAGGTGTAATCAATACAGCAGACACAGCACCTTTAGTACATTTCACAAAGAATTTCTGGAATTTGAGTTACCTCCCCTTTTTAAAGCTGACTTTCTGGCACTGTGTTAAATATTATTATGAAATTTCATCATCATTGTAGTCAGTGTGTATTCTAGAGTATTTACACAAAGTTTAATGAGAAAAAAACAAGCATTGAAAAAATTTCATTTTACCTTAAGGTAGCACTCCACACTAAATTTTAAGTTTCTGCCGTCAATGTCCTACAAGCAATATGTCTGATAAATCTGATCCCAAACTACACAACCTAAAAAAAGAAAACACATTTTGTTAAGAACATATATGTCATACCATTGCAAATCTGTAATGAAATCATCCCAAGTGCAACAGTCAGGCAGTTAAAAAAATTCCAATTCATTCCGTAAAAGCCAAAAATCTATAGTGGTCCGAGACCCAAAACAACAATTTTCGTCCCTCCGGCAAAAAATACCTGCAAATATACGGTCTACAAAAACTCTGTCACTGCTTTAGCAACTCCCTATGCATGCAAAATATCACAAAGAAATAGGTGCTTGGCCTTGTAGATTTTTTGCTATTGCTGAAAGTTTGTACCCCCCTGTAAAATTACTTGTTTTAACCGAGCATGCTGTTTAAAAGCAATGTTTACAAACAATGGCGACCTTGACATCAATAATTATCAGCATGTGATTTCTAACCATGTTTTCGAATTTGCCAATGATCATATTACATGTCACAAAAACAAATTTCATGCTGAAAATGCATTTTAAAGACAACCAGTCATTTAAATCCACAATAGTCACTATATCCATGAAATCCTCCCTGGCCATTCGAAGCTGCGGCTTCATTTAGTGTGGTGTGCTGCCTTAAGGAGCACCTTAACATTGATTGCTGAACTTTATACAGGCTTTTTCTGCAAATTTATGCATATTTCAATAAATAAAATGATTTAATTTTGTTAGGAATTGTTTGCTTTTCTTTATATGTGCCTTTAATGAACTATACCGTTTGCCCCATTTTCAGCCCTCGGCACGCTGTTTTTAGTACATGTAGAAAAAGGGAGAATTCCCAATGTAAGGTGTAGACAAAATGGGTTCCATACTATCTATACAACTAATTTGCACAAATATATCCTTATGTCATATAATATGGAAGAAATATTCAACAAATTGCCATACAGTTTAAGAATAAACTGGCTTCATGTGACATTGTGGGGGGGGGGCACAAAATATATCAGTTATGTTCCTGCCAGACACTAAAATATGCTATTTTTTCAGTCCTACACAGTAGAAAATCTATTTGGCATGCACAATGTCCATATAGATTTATGTGTACTGTCAAAAACAAAGAGACAAAGCATTTGTCAGGGCCTTCACAGCATTATAGACATCACAATGTGGGTCTTCTAGGGAATCGAAATTCACCAAGTGACAGTGCAAAAATCAAATTTTCCGACTAGTCGATCTTGCTCGCTCAGCTTTAAAATGGTCACAATCTCACCAGAAATCCTAGATTATATATCCACTTGCCCTTAAAAGTGATTTCCAGCAAAAATTTACCTCCATACAATGATTTTGCATCACTCGAAACACTTCGGATGGCCATATTTCACACATACAGCTGAAATGCATTAAATGCATGTCTTTTTCCTAATTTAAAAGTCATAAAAAGCAGGAAAACAACATCTAATTTAACCTTAATAGCTCTATATGTCAAAATTAGCATTCTTCTAAAGCTGTATCTCCTAGAATAAGTAGGTGTAATCAACACAGCAGACACAGCACCTTTAGTACATTTCACAAAGAATTTCTGGAATTTGAGTTACCTCCCCTTTTTAAGCTGACTTTCTGGCACTGTGTTAAATATTATTATGAAATTTCACCATCATTGTAGTCAGTGTGTATTCTAGAGTATTTACACAAAGTTTAATGAGAAAAAACAAGCATTGAAAAAATTTCATTTTACCTTAAGGTAGCACTCCACACTAAATTTCAAGTTTCTGCCGTCAATGTCCTACAAGCAATATGTCTGATAAATCTGATCCCAAACTACACAACCTAAAAAAAGAAAACACATTTTGTTAAGAACATATATGTCATACCATTGCAAATCTGTAATGAAATCATCCCAAGTGCAACAGTCAGGCAGTTAAAAAAATTCCAATTCATTCCGTAAAAGCCAAAAATCTATAGTGGTCCGAGACCCAAAACAACAATTTTCGTCCCTCCGGCAAAAAATACCTGCAAATATACGGTCTACAAAAACTCTGTCACTGCTTTAGCAACTCCCTATGCATGCAAAATATCACAAAGAAATAGGTGCTTGGCCTTGTAGATTTTTTGCTATTGCTGAAAGTTTGTACCCCCCTGTAAAATTACTTGTTTTAACCGAGCATGCTGTTTAAAAGCAATGTTTACAAACAATGGCGACCTTGACATCAATAATTATCAGCATGTGGTTTCTAACCATGTTTTCGAATTTGCCAATGATCATATTACATGTCACAAAAACAAATTTCATGCTGAAAATGCATTTTAAAGACAACCAGTCATTTAAATCCACAATAGTCACTATATCCATGAAATCCTCCCTGGCCATTCGAAGCTGCGGCTTCATTTAGTGTGGTGTGCTGCCAAAAGAGATATTTCAATGGTAGTACAAGGAAATTGAAACTGCTTTTGGCTCTTACTATTATGTCAATGGTCTTTCGTTTTAATTACTTTATTTCAGTAATAACATGCATTCAAATGTACTAAATACGTATAATGCTTTCTATCTTGCAATCAAAATATCTTTGTTGATGACGTTATTGTAGATAAATTTCAATTCTCACACAAGCCAAAAGTCTAGAAAGATTACCTAATTCTTTACTTATATAAGATGATGCCATTTTCAACATAGTTTATCACTCCTACTAGCTTATCATTCAAATCAGCGCTGAATGTTAAAGAACCTGTCGCTAGTAAATTACGTTTAATGTGTTTTTGAACATGTTGAACGGATCCTTTGTTGAACTAAAACTGTACTTAAACAAACATAAAACATTAATAGTTGAAAACTGATAACGATTTAAACCAGACTTACTTTGACAAGAAGATGAATTCAAAATTTAAAAGAGAGCAAATATCGCATCCAGGAATTGATTTTCAAAACCCAAAAGCGTTTCTCTATCTACACTTTAGCCTCACTCCCTAGCCTATTGAAGTGCAATCGTGCAACAGAACGATTACAACATATATATAGTTATTTCGCGATAGCGCTTTTTAACTACATTTGAATCAACCTTTATTGAATATTATTAATGTGCTGTTTAAGATTACATTCATTCTGTTTGCTGTCTTTACTTATTAATAATTAAAATACTCAATTCATCAGTATGTTTAATAAGTTTTTTACAATACCGTGGTGTGCTTATAATGATAAATTAGTTTACATAACTCAATTTTATATTTTTCGTTCGGTTGAGTTTTACGTCGCATTAACACTTTTAGAATTATATAATGTTCATATTAATATCTACAATATACTCTAGATATGTCGGCAATTGAACATTCTTTTTAATTGTCTGCATTTTGTATGAGATTAAAAGACTCTTATACAAGAGGCTGTAATTTCCTACCAGAAGGGTGTCAAGGGCATCGGCATTTTGAAACACAAATTGTGTAACATTGCATGTAAGTGTCATACGATATAGATATCATTTTTAATTGTAATTGTCATTCGTATAAAGTTTTGTAGATACATATATAATTTTCAATATTTAAACACGACTGCACAATATCATTTGGCAAATCAGCAAAAGTCTCATTAAATAAAAGTCTAAGGTCTTTTAAAATATATTGGTTAATCAATATAAAATACTGAGACTATCCGGAGAAATGGCAAATTCTTAAATTGTATGACCAAGACATATATGTTTATATTACTCAATGTCTACTAAATACAAAAAACATTTATTGACTTGACATTAAGTATACGATTTCGTAGACAAAAACTCATTACTGTTTTATGTTGGTGTGAAATAGATCTGTTTATATAAATTATAGCATGTTTAAGCATGGCTTAATTTGACATAGCAGTGGTCTGAACAAATAATTCTTGATTTTCTGACAATGTTTATGTTTTGTTTTATTGTTTAATTAGGTTTTAAGTCACACCGATACACTATAGGTCATATGGCGACGTTCCAGCTTTACGGATGGAGAAAGACCTCAGGTGCCCTTCCGTGTATTATTTCGGGCACGAACCATCGACGTTCCGTAAGCTAGTTGGATAGCTTCCTCACATGAAAGAATCCAAAGTCCCTGTCTGGATTTGAACTCACAACGGTGAGGGGCAAGTGGTTTGAAGTCAACGACCTTAACCACTCGGCCATGGACGCCCCGAATTATTATGTATGTAAATGCAATAGTCCTCCTGATTATACAATAATAATACGAGGGGTGTTCCAAAATTAATGTTACTCGGATTATATCTCGTGGAAATCGTGCTATATGAACTCAAATCCAATACAAGTCGATAGTGTGATACCTGGAGAGTAGTATAGGTCAATATCTTGCTCACAATTACACTAACGTTGGTACTGTGTACATTGCTTTGCAGCGTACTCGTTTCACTCACACAAATGTGGTTGGAAAGAGAGCTGAAAACGTGTTTGAAATTAGGGCCTTTATCAAAGGTAGGTCCCTGCTTGGCTTAAAGCCGAAGGACATTCATCGCGGGGTGTGTGATATTAATGGGGAGGGTCAAATGTCGTATATGACTGTTTGGTTGGTCGATTAGTCGGGACACAAGCAACTGAAAGATGCTGCTCACACAGGTCGCCATGCAACAACAACGTCAATACGTAACATTGAAAGAATCCGACAAAATCCTGGAGAAAGACGCAAGGTACACTGTCAGGCACTTAGCTAGAATGACAAACTTGCCTTTAGCACGTGTTCATTGCATTTTGAGGAAACATCTTTCGCTTAGTAAGATTAATGCTAGGTGGATACCACATTTATTAACTGACGACTAAAAGAGGTCCCTAGTTGAAAGGCCAAACTTTTGTTGAAAAAATACCTGAAATACAGCAAAAAGGTTTTCGGCAATTTGGTCACAGGTGACGAAACATAGGTGAATTTTTTCGGCCACCAAAAACGCAATGCGCCCTTGCATTGCTAAAAGAATACTATCGATGAGAAAGCTTTTGTATGTTATATTCTTTGATAACAAGGGCCCAGTCGTACTATAGAGACGTTGTACTTCACAAACTTTAGAAACACTATAAACGCCGCCACCCAACAAACAGGTTTGCAGTACCTCAGACTCTTACATGACAATGTGCCATCTCACAAGGCACGAATTGTTACGGAGTTTTTGAAGGCGGAAAAAGTCACTGTCCTCCCCCACTCCGCTTTTTCACCAGACCTAGCCCCTGTGACTATTTCGTGTTCCCCAAACTAAAAGTCCACCTGTCGGGAAATATATATATCAAGAAATGCTCTGGGTTCTGTCATAACCAGTACCTTATGAGTTTACCAATTGCAGAATACAACAACTGTTTCAAAAAGTGAATTGATCGGCTGAAATGTGCATAAGGGTAGGGGGGAGTACTTTAAGGGACAGGGCAAGTAAAAATGACCTTAACGACTTATATTAAGGAGAAACCATTTAATTTTGGAACTCCCCTCCTCGTAATGTTGCAAAAGATTACGTAAATAACATTTATTTATGAATTGAGATATTGGACGAGAGAAGTGTTTGGACACATGTTAATATATTGCATGCCTGTGCCATTTGAATTGTCTTGAAAAAATGAGATGAATACAAAAGTGGTTTATGTTTATTGTGATGATGACAAATGTATATATCCTTTCTGTGCATTTTGTAAAGTTTTATTCATATGAAAAGCATAAAGTTACTTCACTAAGTTTACTCAATACAAAGTACATACTGTATATTTATATGCTCATCAGTATTGAAATATGTTCTCGCAATGATATGTTATATTACGTAAAAACGTAAAACTTATCGTTATTAATATTGATTATTTCCGATGATGGATAGCTTCTTGGAAACGATATGACAAATTAATATTTATTATTTTTTGTTCACATAATATTGACATTCCTTGTCTGGGAGTATATAAAAACGATACCACACATGTTGTACTTTCGAGTACATTCATAACAAAGACAATTACATGTTTCACAGTGTCATAATTTGGCAATGTTATATTCAAAATTTTTCTTACAAAACCATTGGTCAGATATCCAGTTAATAAACGAAATGAATTTAATAATTAAATACATTATTTTCTTGTCATATAATTACTAAATAGGAAAACCTGCACATTTGACACACTAGGATTCTTTCTAAAAATATATTTAGTAATATCGAACAAATCTTGCAATCGGTCTTAACGTAACATACTAACTTGTACATTTAATTTAAATATGATATATTACAGACAAAAATCGAATTAAAATTTTGGATTATTTGTTGAAACAGAACGCTTTAAAAAAAACAAATGCATACCTCACAGGTAATTGTATTTAGAAAATAGTGCGTGTCTGTTAAACAAAATCTTCAGATACACATTTTAATATATCAATGCAAAAACAGAAGCTATTAAAGTGCTTTTCATATTTTTATAAACATACCAAAGTTCAAAAACACTGTTATTTAAAATGGTGATTTATATTAATAAGCCGTTATTTTTGTGAGTTATCAATATTCTAATTGTGGGAAAGATAAGTTCATTATAACCTTATGAACAATTTTGCTACTCAGTTGCCATGTCGAAACTCCTACATTTCCCAAATGGATACTTTCACGATAATTCCCAGACAGTGTTAACTTTGCGGCCTTCCCATTAATACCTAAATACCTTACATCTCGTGTAAGAGTTGTAATCTTACAGGATGTGGCATCCGTGTCGTCATCTGTACTAATTGAATAAGATATGTCAAGTTGATTCAATGCTTAAATATGTGAAACAGATCGTGACTATTTTTGACGACTTTATTGATTAAGTGACACTTTCACATGGAAAATGTACTTATGTTCTATAATCAAGTAATATTTGTATTCCTTGGAGATTTTGGTAAATAACTGTGTCACTTGGTATTTTCTACAGTGAACATTCCAGTGATATTAGCCGAATTTAAAAATATATACAGAAAACATACACATCATAGGGTTCACATTTCATGAAAGATTAATAAACCAAAATTAAATATCTATAACTGTATTGCTAATTCGGAATTTTGTTTTTTGTGCATTTTCTTTTTCCAATTGTTAAATTAAATCACATGTATGACGTAACGTTTGTAATAAATAGTAAACGAACATAATGACGCATTAACCGAATACAGTCAAACGGTAAAGTGTTAATTTTATTGAATATTAACT